ATTGGTGACCCTTGCTAACCCCACTGAGACCTTATACCAGCGCTTAACCGGTATGGTGTATGTAGTAAGGATCCTGAGGAATGCATAGAATTCTTTCAAAGAAATCCAGTAGGATCCCAAACAGGATAAAATGGGATGGGAGCTAGGGGTTTCTGCAAGCAATGGCCTACGACCTAACACATACTGTACATATTGATAAATTTTTGAAGCCACATTTGACAGGCCAATTTTATTGTAAAAGCACCTATAAGAATATCTAACACAGCTTTGTAGAATAGAGCAGTTTTCAATTGAGTGTCATAAAACCATAACCAATTGAAACCAATAAAATATTACTTGTAACCAAATAGAATTCTCAGCTTGTCTCAAACCATAGGACCCTATAATAAAACCAAAACCAAAGTTATTGCCTGATAACTTTCCACAATCAATTGAAAACTACTCTAGCCCCTTGTAACTAATAAAATGCAGTAGTTTATTTGGAGGCTGAATTTGATACCCAATTTCTGTCATGAATCTGTGTGCACTAACAATTTTTTTTTAGCTAAGGACACCTGCGAAGTTTTAAAAACTGTCAAAAAACAGGATGTTGAAAGGCAATGTGTGAGCTTTACAGTTGAATACCTACCATGCATCAAGTTGAGGTCCTTGTCCTCCATGGGAATGTACCCAGGTTCTTTTAAATCCTGTCCCTGCTGTAATGGTCCTTTTTGATTTGTTTTTCCTGGATCCTTTGTTCCTGAAGGCATTCTCTGGATCATTAACTCCAATGGCCAGCAGTGCCTCCCGAGCTGCCAATTGTTCCGCTTGTTTTTTGGAGGTGCATGGTACACTGGATGATACTGTCTTGTCGCCAAAATGAACAAAACTGACAAAACCAGATCCTTGGAAATGAAATTTGAAAACTGACAGTGTTAAAAACTCAGTTATACTCTCTTGTAACCCAAAAAGCAAAGAACTATTTTGGCAATAAGCAAAACAATAATTATTACTATTACATAAAATTAATATGCATGTGTCAACACCCTCATGACTCACACTCGATTTACTCACTGATGCTTAACTTTCCAAGTTGAGGACAAATCACATATGTCAAGGGAGTAATATGTTAACTCATGCTAGAACTTATTACAAAAAGTAGCAGACAGAAGTCTAAAATGAAGTTGAGTAATTTACCATCCCATGAAGTTGAGTATGTAGGTGGTTTGTTTCCTCTCTGCTGACAGTTCTCCTGAAAAAGATTCTTGTAAGACAATGTGGCATCAAACTTTTCTGGAATTGCTGCAGGGCTCTGTATTCCTAGTGACCCGTCAGTTTTAAGTAACAGAGAGCTCCCCTCTGTTCCTTGCTCTGAATTCAGCTGTTTGATGGCTACTGATGCTGCATTCTGTTGGGCTAGTTTTTTGTTAGATGAGATCCCGTCACTCTTAAATTGCTGCCCATTAAAGGTCACAGTGCAGACAAAACCAGAGCCCTCTATTGTAGTCTCATATTTGGGGAGAGCTAGTCCCATTTTCTGCGCTCTTTCTTGGAGGACGTTCTTGAATGATAAAGAAACATTCTTTGCTGCTGAAACTGGAGTCGAGGTAACAGGAAGAAGTGTTCCAACAACTTCTGCCACAGGAGAAATAGGTGGAACCTGACCCAAACCTGTTTTACAAACTTCTGGTGAAGACATTAATGCTGGTGGCTGTGTGTCTTCTTGTGATTCAGCTGCTGTTGATGTTGATACGGGATTCGAGTGTGGACCATCAGAACCGTCATTAGTAGCCAGAGGCGTCTGTTTCCGGTCATCTTGTGATGCATTAGGCTCACCTGTATCAAGCAGCCCTAACTCGCGCAAAGCTACTTTAGCCGCATTTTTTTCTGCTTGTTTCTTGCTACTAAACTCAGCTTCACTGGTAAAAGTCCGCCCCAAAACGGTCAAATTAGCCACGAAAACTGGACTGAAACCCTGCACCCTCTGCGCACAGCTGTATTGAGGAAGTTGGACCTTAGCTTTTTGGCAGTGAATTTGTAAAAGACTTTTGTAATTGTTGTCCGACATATTTTCAATTCAAACTAACTCCTGAAAGCCAGGAATTTTGGGCTAGTCACTTAACTTCACAAATCGACAAGGGAGACATTTTCTGACTAATTCGCAAAAGTATGCGCATTCTCCACTCTCAGAAAAAGGCATAGTTTTGCGGTCAAAACTCCTCCACTCTGGCCGCATCTAGCTGCCATCTTTGTCTTGCAGCCCATAAAGCATGATGGTTATGAAGAGTTTTATCTCCACCGGGGTGTAGTGGGGGTAAAAAGACACTGCATGGATTTTAGAATTTTATTCTTTTAGTTATTATATTTTTTTGCGTTTTTAGCAACTTTAAAATTGATCCAGATTGTATCCTAGGGTAACGTACTTCCAAAAAAGAGACAACAAAAACACGCTAAAACTATTCGTTTGGAAATTTGAGGTTGTTCTCAAAGGTTATTATGATTGTTAAATAATTGTTATGAAGTTCCTTAGCCTTGGTATTCCACATTCAGAACCTCGGGATTTCGTCCATCTTCATCTCTTTTGCTCCTTCCAAGCAGAGCCTTTTCCAGCATGTTAATATCCCCTCCCTCGTCCTTAATGGCGAAACTCAGAACGTCATTGTGCCAGCACGTGACGATAATTCCTTCTGCTGCAGAATTCCCCGTAACATTAAAATCTGCGGAGGGTGTCGCAATCCAAACTGGGCCGTACTCGGAAATAATCTGAGTAGCTTTCGCTGCTGCATCCTCTTTGCTAGACGCACCTTCCATGAGAATCACACAAGTTCCGTGTCGAAATACAACCCAAGGTTTACCTTGTCTTCCGGGAGTATTTTGGATTATTTTGCGCCATGTATCTGTGATCTGCTCTCTTACAACCACCATGCTGACGGTCGGACATCATATCTCTCTCTCGCACCGACCTAAGATCCCGGGGGTAGCTACTCTGTAGATCTTTGGGTAGGATCTTTGCCGCTAGGAAACTGAAACCCTTTATCCCCTTTTCTAGACCATGAGCAGATTGATTTTGCAATCCTGTTATACCCTATTCACCCTATTCACCCTATCCTAGACCAAGACTGTCTGATTTCTATACTATATCCCAGGCTAAACTGCCTGAAAAACATACCCTTCACATAATCACAGCGGCACAAGCCCATATATAGCTAAAATAGCTTGAAAAAACTCTTAGGCGTCAAGATCGACAAGCACATAAGCTGGCACAACCACACTGAATATTTAATCGGGAAGCTGAACTCTAGAATTCATCTACTTGAAAGAGCGAAAGGCTACCTTAATCTCCACTGCAGAAAATTGTTATTTAACGCGCTTATCAAGCCTGTCTTTGAATATTGCTGTTCGGTTTGGGGTAACGCCTCTAACGATCAACTGCTGAGAATACTTAGAGTGCAGAAACGCTGTAGTAGGTTAATATTAGACGCTAGTTTCCACGACAACTCGGTTCAACTGTTCAAGAAACTACAGTGGATGCCAATTGATGATGTAATACGCATGAAGAAATTGTGCATGATGTTTAAAATTGTGAATGGGGAG